GAGAGAGAGAGAGAGAGAGAGAGAGAGAGAGAGAGAGAGAGAGAGAGAGAGAGAGAGAGAGAGAGAGGGAGAGGGAGAGATAGCGCTGGCAGACGGAAGGCAGCCATAGCTGCACCAGTGCAGAGTGGTAGTAGTAGACTTCAGAGGGTTAGTAGGCATAACAGTGGGTGTATTCAGAGTAGGTCCTTGAGAATAGTAGATGTGTGAGTGCATGCAAGAGAGGTGGTAGACAGAGAAGATCAAGATAGAGAGAGAAGACGGAAGAGTTTTGGAAGAGAGACATACCTGAGTGAAGATACTTGATACTTGGGTTGCGCTGTTGAGCGCCTGTGACTGAAACTCTTAATTGCTCATATGATAATTTGTTGGAATTATAAGCTGCGCTACCTGGTCTTCATCTTTCTGGTCTCCACAGACTCTCCAGTGTGAAAATTCGTGTGATCTCATACATGCATGTGGTGTGATTGTGTGCGCTCACTGGTGTTGAACTAAAGAGGCTCATTGCATGTGTATGTGCAAGAGAGAGAGAGAGAGAGAGAGAGAGAGAGAGAGGTCAGTATCATGTGTATACAGAAGTACACAGGAGTGGACAAGCACAAGCACACACCTTCCTTAGAGCCAGCATGCCGGGATAGTTCCATGGAGTGATCGCGCCAACCACGCCAATGGGCTGAAGCAGACAGAGCCAAGGTAACCTCAGAAATTTTCGCCACGATCGCAACACATTTTTATGGATACAACCACCACAAACAAAGACATTATGAAAGAACAAAAGTATGTATCCCCCAGCGGCTGCAGCAAACCCATTGGTTCTAACTGCTTGTCCCGCCAACTGTTTGTCGTACAAAATTTACAAACTAGTATACCACCTGTCTCCCCCACTCTTCCCACTCTTCCCACTGTGCCGTTTTCACTGGTAGCCCTTGGACACCAAACAATACAATAATAGGAAGCCATCAAACTGTACACAGCATGTCAAATCTGGCAACTTGTTGCACCAATGTTGCTATCTTCCTACTTTTGAAAAAAAAAAAAAAAAAAAAGAAGGTATTGCTACTAACCATGAAACGGAAGTGTGTTGGAAGAAAAGAATACATGCGTGCAAACAGCATAGAGGAAGCACAGGAGAGGGGGGGGGAGGGGGGGAGGGAGAGGAGGAAGAAGAGGGCAGCAAACTAAGGTTTGTTGTTTTCCTCCTTATTTGAAGCTATTTCACATTTTTGTTAGTGGTACAAGGCTCCCTCGGTATTCGTGGCACCGATCTGGAGTAGAAACACTCTCCACACGGGTGTGTAAGGTGTACTCTGTGTAGGCACTTGCTGCTCAGGCTTTGGGCTGCAGTACGTGTGCGTTCTATTCGAATACAACGCATGCGTTCTAGTCGAACAGCTGGCATATTCGAATACAATGCATACGCAAATCATCTATTTTTTTCTCGCAAACTCTAATACAACGTGTATGCATTATGTTTGTGGGAAGACAGTAAGCAGGACAAGAACTTGCCAACTGAGAGGGTAGGCGTGACAAGTATGGTATAGATGATGACAGGAAAGTTCGGATGAAATCGACTTTCAACGAGTTTTCACCGACCAGCTCGTAACAACAGGGGTAGTGGAACTCGATAATTTTCGACGGGTTTTTACGGACCAGCTCGTAACAGCAGGGGTTGTGGAAAATCCAGTCGGATCGGCCGGCAGGACAGACATAAAAAGGGAGAGTCTAAAAAGGGATAAACTCCAGGGGTGGAGCAGCAGTACATCTCCTTCCTTAGAAAAGCGCAGCAATCAATCAATGCTGCTGTCTGCTGTCTCGGACCCATGGAGTGGGAGGGTACTTGATGTTAAGGTCCTTAAGAATAGAGTCCCATTAGAGACCCAATTGCCAGGTTTTGAATGAATGACAGAAAAAAAAAGGAAGACATGTATGACGTGCAAGGAAAGGACGTCCGGAAAAAAAAAAAAAAAAAGGACGTCTGTGTGACTTGTCTTGGTGGACTTTCTTTTTTCAAGTTTTTTTAGCTCAGTGCCACCCTCTTAAGGAAACAGGACAAAAAAAAGAAGCTCACTGCGACCTACCTGCTTAAGCACGAAGATTTTCTTGCCTGGAGCGGGAGATGGTAAAATGTCGCCATGAACGCGCTTGGCCTCTTCCAGCATCAATTCCACAAAGTCGTTCCCCATTCGAAGCTGGCAGACGTATCCGTCACCACATTTGATGTCCATGCCCACCACGGTACCACCATGCACATTAACCCACAAGCAACCACCCAGCCATAAATATGCAGACTCAAAAGTCACTCCATTTTACAGCCCATATATTTTGTCCTTCACCAAATCCAACTCCTTGCCCTAAACCCTTAACCCTAACACCCAAACCCCACCACCTACTGTAGCCACATTGATTCCACTCTACATCTGTGGCCAGCCATATTTTGGTCCATCAGGAAGGTAAAACGGTACAAAAACCATAAAAATTATCTTCATGCCCATGCCCACCACACACATCAACATGCAAGCAACCACCCAGCCGCATACATGAGGACGCCATCAGCAGCTCTTCAGCTTCTTCTGAAAGTAAGGCACCTCTCTCTCTGATCCCAACACGTTCCAAAGAATCATTTCCACTCTAAATCTGACATAGTTATGCCCATCGACCAATTCCTACCTTTACAAGCCATGAGCGGCACGCAAAAGCAAACAAGTCAAGCTGTTTTTTTTTGTCGGGATTCCAACAACGAAATCCACAACCCCCTCTGTAAATTAACTCTGCAATGTTCAGTTGAGCAACCATTCACGCTGCTCTCTCAACGTGGCCCTCCAATGCAAAAGTGACCAACCAGCCCCATATCCCCTTATTTCAGTACATCCACAGCCTCGGATCCCTCCACACGACAGCATATGAACTCAAACCGGCACCTTCGGCCTCAAGAGCCAAGCATTGTAACCACTGCAGCCACGACACCATGTTCAAAAGTCGAATACAGGTCACCATACCCCACCCCTGCATGGCCGCAGTGTCCGTACTCACTCACACGCACACACAACACACACGGCAACCTCTCTCACACACGCTCTTGATCCACCACATGACCCTCCCCTCCCCCAACGGCCACCCACTCCTCGTATAATTTCCTCAGGCAGGTTGCCGGGCTAAGTGCGGATCAGTCAGTACTTCCACAGCCTCGGACCTCTCCGCGTGACAGCACAACACGGATTTGGACCGGCAGCCTTCAGTCGCTGACAAAGTGCTTTCAAATTTGGGCTTTTTTTTCAAGTCACCAAAAAGAGCTCGGCCGAATGTCATGGCTCCAAAGGCGGACACTGGCAAAACACAAACTCAAAGCCCCATCTATTATGGGGGTGGGCAGCAGTCTGGTTGCTTATACCAGATGTCAAAATAGAGAAAAGGGGGAGGGCCAGTAGCAAGGAGAAAAGCACAGCCTCGCACCCCTACTGCCCTAGATGCTGTACAGGGGGGGCTGGGGGGCAATTCGGTGGCGTGTGCCTGCATTACCCCAACCGGGGCTCGCATAGTGACCGGGATTCAGGCATATTAAGATGTCTAAAAGGCCTCAGCGAAATGTTGCCCAGCCTCATGGATCCAGAGTCTATCACTCCCGAAACGCAAAACCCTCTCGTACATTGGCATTCTAAACGTCATCCAAAAGATCATCATGGCCAAAAGATGTTTGTCGCATTCTGGCCGCCCACCTTGCCTTCCCACATACCAGGAAAAAGCAGACAGCAATGGCAGATCATCATGATCTAAAAATAGAACAGAACAGAGCAAAAGAAGAAAAAAAAGAGCACCAGAGCCCAGTGGAATGGCATCAATTGCTATCAAACGAAGGGGAAGGGCAAGGGATTTCCTTACCCCTGTTGAATCACCAATTTGTGTTCGGACCTATCGGCACATTAATGTTCAGTAATATCCGTACGTCATATTAACACAGATTAGGACATTACTACATTAGCATTCAGCACATGAACATTGCAGCATCACCCTTGAACGCATTTCGCATTTTAGCAGCGAGAGAAGACATGATAGAGGCACAGCTCAATTTGCAGATGGAGGAACCAAAGAGCGCAAATCAGGAAAAAAAAAAAAAAAAAGAGCTCAAATGATCCAGAAATATTTTAATATCTGGAAAGAGAGCAGATTGTCGACATTTTTTTTTTTTTTTTTTTTTTTGGCATCAACACAGATTCAACAGATAATTCAACGGGGAGTGGCAACTATTCAGGGTAGGCACCTGAAGTGGAAGGCCTGGCATACTTGGGACAAGGACCCCTGCTCCACCATAACACCCAGAGGCAGGAGACCCTGAACCCCAACTGGGCATACATAGGAAGGACCAAGAATTCTCGCTCGTAACACCACCTTTTTAAACCACCAGTACTTGCCCCAGCTATCAGCCGTAGGAAAAAACATAAATAAAAAAATTAGTGTAAATTTGTAAAAACATTTTCTAGTCTGGCTGAATTTGAGCGCTCTGGCCCGTACATTTCCTAAAATTCTCGCTTGTTTATGCACGACTTTAGGAAGTACTGGTGCTTTAATTAACAGTCTCTTCTTTGTTAATTTTCTTTCCGACCTACCATCGTCACCCGAATAGAATGCCCAGTCAATGGCGGTCATTATAGCCGTATCTGGTGCAATTTTCAGTCCAGATACAGCTATCATTACCAGGCGTTCTATTCGGGTGAAGACGGCAGTGGCACCAGCTAGTGGCACCATCTCCTCTTTCGACGGCGACAGATGCCGCAAGCTCTGACGACAACTAGAATCATTCTAGGTCCTACAGGGGTTCTTTTTCACCTGGCAGTCCATGACAGTGGACAGAGGGATCTTTTTCAACTGCTCTTGATAATGAGAAAGGTTTGGTCCCAAAAATACAGCAGATGTACTTTTGGGACTAAATCTTGATGCCGGGGGTAGTACCCTTTCTCAACTGCTCTTGGTAGCAGGGAAGGTTTGGTCCCAAAATGTCCAAAAATACAGCAGATGTATTCTTGGGACCAAACCTTTCCGTTAGATCTTGATATCGAGGTACCCTTTTCTCGGTTTCTCTTTCATAACGGAAACTGCGGCAGTATTCCTGTAATCTCTCTCTCTCTCTCTCTCTCCATCTATCTATCTATCTATCTATCTATCTATCTATCCATCCATCTAGATATCTCTATCTATCTATCTATCTATCTATCTATCTATCTATCCATCTCTATCTATCTATCTATCTCCTCGTTCTTAATTGTAGCGTTCTCATTCAAGTGGACTTCAAACTCACTGGGTCTGTATTTCAAGAGTCCAGGGGGGTTGTACCAACTGACGGCTAGGCCTGTTGGTATGCCTGTTATCTCACTACTGAGTCGCTAGGACTCATGGCGTATTTCTAATATAAACCGTTCTTTTGAAGTGATTACGGCCGTTGCAAACAAAAATTGTTCCTCCCTCAATCGCCACCGGGCCTGCACACGTTGCCGACTTCACTCATTGGTCATCCAAAACTGTACTTTTCTCTCCCCCCTCCACCCCCCCGCCCTCCCTCTCCGCCCCTCCCCGGCTTTTCCTTCTGTGGGAATGCAGCTAATGTTTGCATACCACTGGACGACTCTCCCTGACATGGTAAAACTGTTCCAATTTTCAGCGGATGCGGATGGATACTCTACTCCATAAGGGATACACAATCATTTGATAGACAGATAAGACAGGAAGACTCTGTCATTATGTCTAGACTCTAAAGTAGGGCACCCTGGTCAAGTAGGCCTACTTAGGCTGTATCCCGTTACAAAATCGAGCCCGACCTGGAATAGGAACGGGGCTGATGGTTCCCGGTTACGGGATCGAGCCCCAACCCAGCATGCGGAATCAGGCCCCGACCCGGCATGAGGAATCGAGGCCCAACCTTTTTTGCAGAACAAAAAGAACAAGAGACCAAAAAAAAAAAAAAACTTACCGGTGGAATAGGAACCGGACTGATGCTCCCCAGAATGGATATGGATCCAGGACTATCAGGTTCCGTTTTCTCAAAAAAAAAAAAAAAAAAAAAAGGAAGCAACTGTCATATATTTCCTGTTTCTGAATGATGATATCGTTACAACTTACAAACAAGTTACAATGTACACCTATCTCAGGTGGGGAAAAAATATAAAATCCTATTCATTGAATCCATTCACAATATCAGTACAATATCAATCTAGGTTACCAGCCGGGCTGCCCGGGTCGACCTATTTTCCCGGGTGGCCCGGCCGCGCAAGGACCAGGGAAGGTTTGCCTCAGGTTCACGTCGAACTTCTTTTACCAAATTTAAAATAAAAATTCAAATTGAAAATTACTTTTTATTTTTAAAATTTTTAATATATTTTTGGCCTGGCCGGGCAAGTGGACCCGGGCCTTTCTGGTAGCCTAGATATCAATACAATATCAATACAATTGAATTTGAATGAATCAATATATAGAAAAGCGCTCTTAGTTAAACTTGGTTGAACGCAGGTTTCCAACACCTGGAGCACAGTTCCACTAGCAAAGGAAAGGTAAACTGTGTCCCACAAACACCTTTGGGACATCTGCGGGACACCGTCCGACCATTGATGCAGGAGAATCGGATGGCAGAGAAATTGCGGGGGATTTATATTCTGAAGTGGTGTTTCTTTTTTTTTGTTTCTGTGTTTTTTCTTTCCAGTTCCCAAGAATGGGAGGCCGGAAAACCCGGAAAAGAAAATAGAAAGACTCATTTTGATTGGCAGCTCTTCAAAAGATTTTAAAAAATCAAGTACTCGAAGGGCAAGGTTTTAAACCCCTTCTTTTCCCCGGTCAATCGTTAACCCCATCCAGTACTTTTCTCTCAAAATATGCAAAATGCACGCTTCAGCATGGCAACCGTCAGAGAAGGGAGTCCCATCAGGCACACGAAGGGACTCCCTCGCGGTGGTACGTGAGACTGCAACAGTCACGTACCACTCTGTCCTGATCAGGCATTGGCTGGATGGGTAGCAGGGGGAGGAGACGGGAGGGTTAGTGGGACGGCAGCACTTTCAAAAGTCGGCCTGCTTCCCATCTTGGGAAATGTAATGTCGCCATTTTTTTTTTTTAAGTCTTTAAAATTACTTTTCTTCCTTTTCTTACAGTGCCGCACAGGTCCAAATAGGCCATGACTCGTGTGCTAGTGGAACCATGCCCCTGATGTCGTAGATTCAAATCATGCAGAGGGGGAAAAAAAAAAAAAAAAAAAAAAAGGGAAAGGAAAAAAAGAAAAAGAAAAAAAGAAAGAAAAAAAAAGAAAAAAGTGTTGTGTACACGATTACAACGATGACAGTATCATTTTACACAGTTATGACCAGAGTAACTCACAGTAACAAACACAGTAACTCACAGTTACGAACACAGTAACAGAGTAACAGAATGCACACTGGCACTAACTGACACTACTGACAGTATCTGAGTAAAACGAGTTACTGTTGGTAGCTGAGTCACACACAGTTACGAACAGAGTAACAGAGTAACAGAGTAACAGAGTAACCGAGTAAAACCAACAGAGTAACAGAGTAACCGAGTAAAACCAACAGAGTAACTCACAGTAACGAACATGGTAACAGAGTAACGGAGAGAACTGCACTGTGCTTTGATTGAAGTTTGAAAGCTGAAACTTCAAACTCTAAAGAATCCATGGACTGCAGCAAAAAGAGATTCACAGCAGTATAACCCTGAGGCATACTGGCACTAGTAACTGAACGCAGGCGCAGTTGTGGGCCATATCCATCCAGAAAAAAATCCTGATGTGCATGCATATACCACCTCCCAAGGGATTTGCACGATTCAAGCTGCTGCCACGCCAAGCGGATGCAGAGTTGAGATGCTAACAGTCCCATCCATACACCGATATCTGCCACTGTGTGCACATCACCCAGAAGGAATTTAACTTTCATTAAGCCTCACCTCCTGTGCAGCCTCTGCGCATGGTTTTCCATTCTCCAGGGTAATGATCTTAGCCAAGTCTCCCATATTTTCATCGACCAAATCATGCCTACAAACACAGATCATTATATGTGTCAGCATCACACACACGCACACACACACACACACACACACACACACACACACACACACACACAAACACACAAACACACTTGTACATGAGAGGCATAGTAAAAGAAGAGCTGCAAGAGCAAATAAGAGCGGTACCGCAAAGAGAACTAAGATAAGATACTTAAGAAGAAAGGGAAACGATCATGGATCTGTTGTGCTCCCTGTTGCTTGCTGTAGAGGTAAAACTGTTTCATTGTTGGATTGGCTCATCTCAAGCGTGCTTCATCCTCTGCAATAGAAGTACAGTTGCTTTGATTTTGGATCTGCTCGTCTGGGTGGAACAGGGGATGTTGCTGTGCAAACCTACACCACACACACACACACACACACACACACAGACGATGCATATACACACATCACGGTAAGACACGCAGACTCACGTATGTGAGTGCACACATACTCATCTCGTATGTGATGCTCATCAACAGACAGGCCATTACAACAGTTACTTCCAAGAGGCCATGAAAACACGTGTGGCCCGGTGTGGGTCAAAACATTACAATAATACCTGTTCAATGCTCCCGCTCTTGGAGTCGCACCTAGATCATAGAAGGTGCTCAGGGAATACAGGCTCGCAAGTTCGAGAACCATTCTTCACACACATAACCGACACCCGTGCTTCACGAACAGGACAACTGTGGAAGCCACAATGGCCTTCTCACCCAGGACCATTTCCTCAGAAAGGTAAGGCCAAGCTTTGGGGGTTTCACTAGCGGCACACACTATCAGAGCCTGCCCACAAGGACAGCAGCACTGGTACTTCTGGTCCAACAGCAGTAGGGGTAAACTCAAATGCGTTTGTACACCCAAACACACACACACACAATCCATTGACTCCATATTCATTGCCTTACCATTTTCGCAGAATGACAGAACGCTCTTTTGCAGTCTTCTTCTTCCATACTGTTCCCAGCATCAGGAACAACACCAGGGCACCACACATGACAGAGGGAGAAATATCATCGTCGCTGTCAGCAACATCAGGTGAGATGTATTACGCAACACAAGCAACACAACCAATCTCTCCTTTTATCAGCCTGCATTGATTCCAAAGAAGACAGGTTGTGTTAAACAGCCAGTACACAGCCCCAGGCTTGCCGAAAAAGAAACTCGTAGCCATTTTGGAGGCTCGGACTACCGGACCATGATGGCTGGCGGCGCCAGCCAAAAAACAAAAGAACTGTGCCGCTGGCAGTTCTGGAAAGATTGGCACGCAGTAAGGGACCTGCTGGTCCGGATGTACTGCTGGTTTACGCCTTCTGTTACTTCCCCTGAGCCTCCCTTGAATCTGAATATGGTTCATCACTCCATACATTCTCACGAGACGGAAGTACGTTCATGTCACATCTGAGTTTTTCATAGGGGGCCAAAAAAACATGTGTCGGCAAAGAAACCAGGCTGGTCCAGGCAAAAGTCCGAAAAGGGGGATGAAAGTACCGCGGCCATGGTGTCAGGGCGGGCATCATACTTACAGGGGTCGGCCGTGGTGTCAGAGGGCGGTGGGAGGGCGGGCAGGGGGGGGGGGGGGGGGGAAGCCCAGCGGATGCTTTTCCAACGAAATCGCCGTTTCGAAGTCGGCGCCTGATTTCTTTGCCGGCTCAAAACCTGCCACGTCCACCGTTGTTTCTTCGTACTAAGTCTTATAAAGCACCACACCACACATAGGCTCGCGGGTGTCAGCATGAAACCCACATCACTTAAGTGGCCGCCGACTTTTTTTTTTTTTAACGGTGCCCCTGGCGGTATGGCACTTCCGAGTTTTGCTTGCGGCGACAAAAAAACTTTCTGCAAGGTTGGGGCCGTGTACTAGCGGCTTAAGAGGTTTTGCCTCTCAGTGCATTACAAAATGTCTCTATGAAATCCCGTGTGACCCATTACCCTGGCACCATGATAGACTGATTCACAAAAGCTTTCTGCAAGGCTGGGGCCGTGTACTAGCGGCTTAAGAGGTTTCGCCTCTCAATGCATTACAAAATGTCTCTATGAAATCCCCTGTGGCCCATTACCCCGGCACCATGATTTTGACTGATTCGCAACACGAGCACTACTCTCTCTCTATCTTGGTCTTATTTTTATTTTTTTTTACTCTAGAGGTTAACACTCTTCTCGCAAGGATTTGGATTTGGATGCTGCTACGCACGTGCGGAGGGCACGTGCGGAGATGGTGTGTGTGTGTGTGTGTGTGTGTGTGTGTGTGTGTGTGAGAGAGAGAGAGAGAGAGAGAGAGAGAGAGAGAGAGAGAGAGAGAGATGGACACACGAGAAGCAGAAGCTGAGTGTGGGTCTAGTCCGACTCATTGAACGAGTGAACAACTGAATGAGTGACCAACCCGGCCCGGGCCTGGGCCGGAGAGATATACCGGCCTTGGTCCAGGCGGGAGTAACCTGGTATCGGACCGGGGTCGGGCCAGCGGCCTGAAACAGGTCCGGCCTCACTGCCGGGCCGAAGGGTACTGCTACATGATCCTTGGACCTGTAAATGGATCAACCAATACATCAACATTCTATCCGCTGAAATAGCGGAAACCCAAAGGAGCGGCAAAGAAACAATCCTAAATGTAGAGCAAGCTCCGTGCAGAAAAAAAAAAAGATGCAATGCAGATTAAGCCTCAAGCCTAATCTATACAACAATGTCTGGTTTGAGTCGACCCAAGAAGCAGAAAATGTCTGCCCTATGTCGGCCAACAAAGAGAAAAATGTCTGACCTGTGTCAGCCAAGAAAGAGAAAAATGTCTCCTAAGCCAATGTGGTTGAGCATAAGTCAACACCTTCTAAAGGCTAAAAGTAACAACATCAATATCCACACCGAAAAAGAATGTGGCACAATCTCACGTGCCTTATTCAAGTACACGATACCCGAATAGAAGACGGAGCTCGATCGCATGAGAAAAGTAGAGATGGATGGAAGGGCGGCAAGTACAGCTCTCAGAGTAAACTTCAAGGGGGTACCCACACAACCATATGAAACATCATCAGGCTTTAGAGGGAGAATAACAACACGACACCAAGCTCAATGGAAACCATCAAACGAGCACCGCCAACTGAAAGGAAAAAGGGCACTCACACAAGGGAGCCTGGAAGGATAGGGGGGCTATGACGGCATAAACATGTGGCCAAGGGCTGCGAGCCAAGAAAAACGTAGGGCGCAGAAGGGTGGCAGACTAACACACCCATACGGTCAAGGAAAACAGGGGTCATCATGCGACTGGAGGGTAAAACTCGGGGGTGAAGGGTAGATGGGAATGAGGGAACTCCATGGCCGAAAAAGTGAAGTAGTCCAACTGGTGAGTCTCCAGACTGAAGTCGAGTCGAAGTACCCAAGATGAAGTAGTAGCGCAAAAACCGGGTAGAAGTCCGGAACACTACGACAGGTACTCTAGTACTGAAGAGAAGTATTGAGGTCGAAAGTCGAATGTGGAAGCTAGATGTAGAGGCTGGATGTAGAAGTCAAATAGAAGCCGAAACCGGGAGCTGCTGCATAAGTGTCCAAGGATGGTAAGAGATAGAGGGCGTATCGAGGGTGTAGATCGGTCCCGATAGCGAGAGGGAAGTCGATGTACGATGAGGGTGAGAGGAATCAGCTGCAACAACAGGTGGAACCACATCCACAGGGGAAGGGGGACCTGAGACAGGTACCGGTGGTGCAAGAGGACCCATCGATGAAGGAGGGAGAATGTTAGTGGTCGCTGAAGTAGATGGGTCAGTAAAAAGGCGAGAAGTCGGAGGGAAAGGTGATGAAGGGAAAGGATGAGCACGATCGTAAGCACGCGCGAAAGTCATAGCATGCTCCAGGTGCTCGAGAGGCTCCCAAGTAGACTCCTCGTCAAGGTAACCCTTCCATCGAACATGATACTCGAGGTTGGAAGGGTCACCATCAGTCATACTCTAGGACGCCATATCAGAGACGGCATACTCCTCGTAACCCTCAATGATGATGGGAGAGGGGCGAGGGTAAGGTCGATCATGGAACTCAGGGGGAGACCGTCTGAAGGGGCGCAATAGAGACCGTCTGAAGGGGCACAATAGTAAGGTAGATCATTGAACTCAGGGGGAGACCGTCTGAAGGGGCGCAATAAAAATCGTTTGAAGGGGCGCAATAGAAATACATAAAACATATCATGTAGGTTAGCGCGATACATGGAATCGATGAACTTCAATTTGACGCTCACCGGACAGTCGTGATTAGGACCGGCGGGTGAAAGAATATTGCATGGACCGATGTATCGACGTCCGAAATTCCGAAGCCTGTCGGCCTCAGACTGGAAGTGACATGTGTCGACAAGGACTTCGTCGCCAACTTTGAAGGGGTGATCAATGCGAGAACGGTTGGCACTAGTAGCCATGCGAGTTTGGGAGTCGGCAATCCTCTTGTGAGCGTTGTTTCTCATCCATCTCCTTAACCCAGTCATCAAGGGCAGGGCATTTAATGTCGAGAGGGATCTAAGATGGACGAAGGAGATCAGATGGGACACGAGGGTGATATCCCAAGTCGCAGTAGCAAGGAGACATGTCGATGGCTGGTGCAATGGCATGGTTATAAGCAATTTCGACATGGGCGAGATGAAGGCCCCAATCAGAGTCAATCTCAACAAACTTCTTGAAAATATTCCCAAGAGTTTTGTTGGCGACCTCGGTCTGTCCGTCTAACTGGGTAAAAAGAGAAGCGAAGCTCAAAGCCGTGGATCTTGTGGAGTCCACGCCAGAAATCGGAAGTGAAGCGGGGGTCACGGTCAGAGACAATACTAGTAGGAAGGCCATGATGAATGACAAAGCAATTGAAATAGAGTGAGGTGATGTTTTTAGCTGAGCTAGCATACTTGCAAGGGAGGAAGTCTGTATGCTTAGTCAGCCAACAGACAACAACGAAGATGGCGTTGTGGCGTCGTGGGGTAGGGTGACGAAGAGGACCAATGAAGTCCATAGAGACAAAAGTCCAACGCTGAGTAGGAATGGGTAAGGGTTGAAGAATACAAGGGGGGATGATTGGTAATATTGGCCTCTTGGCAGATCTTGCACGTGCGGACATACTCCAATAGTAATGGCGGTAGAGGCGATCAAGAGTCTGTAGACACCGAAATAACCGGCGGCGCGCTGATCATGACTCTCAGCGACTGCCCGAACACAGAGCTGGCCGGTAGAAGGCACACATAAACGAGTACGAGGATGATTGAGTCCAAGCCAGTCCGAAGGGGTCAACTGGAAGTTAGGGACGGTCTTGCCAGCTTGCAAGTCAACGTAGATTGATTGAAACTCGAAACACTGGGGTAAGCACGACGATACTCATCTAGGAAAACAGCATGACGATACTTGCAGGATGGATAATGGGAGTAGAGACAGAAAGAGCAGAGACAGAAAGAGCAGAGAGCCGCCGATCATCGCACTTGCGGTCAGGGCGACGGGATAAGGCATCTGCAACACGATTGCTCTCGTTGGAAATTTTCCTGATAGTGAAGTCGAACTCGAAAAGATCACGCCACCAACGAGCCTGACGAGAAGTGAGTTTAGGCTTCGTCTGAAAGGCGGCGAGGACAGAGCTGACCATGTAAATGATGACGCCACTTCTTAACAGCGTAAACCAGCGCGAGAACCTCACGCTCATCAGCAGTATAGTTACGCTCTGTGGGAAGTAGTTGTCGGGAGAGATAAGCAATCGGACAATCTTCATCGCAAGACTCGACTGTACCTTTGTCAGCAACATCAGGAATGTATGGAGGGGGGGTTCCCGAAGGAGTGGGCTCAATGGGTGCGAGGTGAGCGACAATCGTTGGGGCTGTAGGAGGGAGTCGGGGAATGCGCGGGAGTCGAAACTCCGTGGAATCGGGTGAAGGGGCTGAGTAGATTTGAGATAGGACAGCTCCAATAGAAAAGTCCGAAGCGTCCGTGGTGACAATGAATGGACGAGAG